GGGTTTCGCTTGTTTGTTTTTAGGATTCCTCACTGATTAAAATTAAATTATGGTTACAAACAAGCAGCCAGGTGAGGTGTTCACTGCTCTACTTTTCTACGGATGCATTCGGCTGCTGAAGATTTTCTTCTTTTGAAAGGCAGGGTGAACCAGTCACCATCTCAGCACTGAGGGACACGCTGACACAGCTGCCTCATCCTGTAGAAGCCTCTAGAGGAGCTCAGCTGTTTATAGAAACCAGCCTCCCCTGAAGTTTTCTAAAAGGAATTGGGTGAGGTTAACAAGGCATTCTTTCTACCATCTACATTCAGAATCGTGTCTTTGGAAAATAAATACTGGAGTAGTTTTGTTTTATTCTCATTTTTAATATCCATTAAGAAATAGTCCGATTAGATAATGGGATTGTGTAATCTAGGGAGGTGAGCCCATCCCTGAGTTTTGCTAATCCCCATTATTCTGCTTGGCTCGGGACCATCTAAACACCAAGACCTCTGGATGAATAGGACGCACTGCTCTGCCCCAAAGCCACTCTGTGGAGCTAGTGCCGGCACGTCCTGCCGTCATACACAACAGTGCCTCGAAACTGGCTTTCTCTTTCTCTTTCCTTCACAGAAGGCACATGGTTCCAAATAATTTCCCAAAGCGATTTTGTAAATGGATCCCTGGAACGTCCAACCAGGAGGCATTTGTCATTTACTGCATCACACCACACTCTGGCCTGTTACAAAATCTGTCTGTCTCCTCACTGTGAAGAATGGCATCCACACTTTTAATCCATTCAACTTTTTGAAAAATGGAGGTGAGGCCTTGGTGTACTGTAGTTTCCCTACCTTACTCCATAATGCCAGCAGATTATTGGGCCTTGTGGAAGCCTTGTCCATCATGTTCTGTGACTGGGGCCATTCCAGTCTTGGCTGGAGAGCAAAGAGTGGAATTTTAACTATGAATTTCCTCATGTTTAATAGGCTAAAGTCAAAAGGCCACATTCTGCCTTCAGATATGCATGAACAACCTCCAACTAGAGTTACTCATGTATATCTGAGTTTAGTTGAAATGTTCCAACACTCAGACGCTATGAAATAACATGCTTTGTTTCTTTTTAATTTTTTTAACGTGCATATGGGAGTACGAAGTAGCATGTGTAAATCAAAATGATTCATGCTTTTTGAGGAAATGTTTAAGAGAGCAAAGTCATACAGATATTTTAATCTTCAGTCCTGCTCATCTGTTCCATCTTTATACATACCAACCACTGAGCCCCTTCAAGCTTATCCTGAAGGGCTCATTAGCTTGGACCCATTCTGTTATTTTAGGGGCTGCTGTGGTAGAGGGAACACATGACAGGCCTGGACTCAGAAGAAGCAAGATCAAGTTCCAGCTCTGATAATAATTGTATGGACTTAGGGTAAGACAATCTTCCCTAATGTTTACTCATTCATAAAGTGTTGACTTTGCAGGGTTATTGTGTGAATTCAATAGGTAATGGGTATTAAATTGTTTTCCCAGAAGTACTGTGCCTGTTGCGTAAGCACAAATATGGACAAAGAGAAGCCAAGTCATATAGAGTCAGTAAGGAACAACTTACAGTCGCGCGATGGTAGTGGGAACGTAAAATGTTACAACTCTTTTGGTAAGCAATTATTGGGTTGCTGGGAAAGTCATGATGCACTTTTGCATAGAAAAATACATCCTGACTTCCCCATGACCTAATATAATAAATAGATTGAGTATTTAAAATGGTCCTCTTTGGGCCAGCCAGGTGGCATGGTGGTTAAGATGGCTGGATCCTATGTGACCTGGCAGCTTGAAAATACACCAGGTGTGTGCGTGTGTGTGCCCAAAATCCCACAGAGAGAGTAGAGGAGAAGGAATTGTGATGTGGTCACCATCCCCCGGAAGGGGGTGATTTCTCATTTTCTCTCTCTCTGTCTCTCCAGAGAGCACACATGCCCTATAGCAAAAACAAAAATGAAATAAAACGGTCTTCTTTCACCCAGTAACTTCACATATTAAAATTTGTTATAGGAGGGACAAGTAAGTGGCACAGTGGTTAAGGCACTGGACTCCCACATGGCCAACCACAGACCAAGTGTCTTGAAACTCAGACTGGGTGCGTAAGCATGTATGCCTCAAATCCTAGGAGGGAAAGGGAGGAGAAGAGATTGTGGCATGGTGAATGATTTCTCACTTTCCCTCTCTCTGTCTCTCTCTCTCTGGCAAGCACACACACCCTGTGATGGGCCTTGCGGCCACCACACACACACACACACACACACACACACACACACACACACACACACACACACACAAAATTAAAAATTATCATGGGAAATAAATAATAAAGGGGAAGCTTCTATGTCTAAAGACTTTTTTCATAGCATTTTTATCATGGAAAACAAGTGGAAGTGACCCAGATTTTAAGCAAATAAAGTAATTCTTAAGCCCACCATTATATACTGTTGAAAGGATGACACTGAGGTTAATGTCTTATAATAGTGTACGTACTAACAGATTCAGAATATGTATTCTATATGATCACATCTTTATAACAAAAACAGCTAAAGCATAATCATTAAGGACAGCAAGGAAATAAAAAAATTAAACAAGAATTGGTCGAAGAAAAGCAGAAGATGCTTTGGATAGAAGGGCTATATGAATTTTTGTCCCTTCAGACTCTTAGTACCATATACACTAATTGCACTCAAATGTTACACTTTAGCTCCAAACTAACTCTAACACTCTCCTCAACTAACTTTCCGATTAATTAAAACTTTACCTTAATTAGCTCTGCGAAATAGTTTAAATTTTTTTTTCCAATTTTCCATTCAGCTCTCTGTAAGATCATAGATATTCAGGCTAGACATTTGGCATTTGGTCAAATATCAAAAGCTTGGATTTAGCCGTTCAGTGTCATAAGGCGCAGCATCAAAGGAATTTTCCAGCATTGCTCCCCACATACAGCATGGGCCCTGTCATTTGATCCTCAAGAATGCTGAGCAGTGGGTGATGAATGTCATGGCAGGAGAGCCAATGTATACATTTCCATCAAGGGAGAATGGGTGTAAGCCAGACAAGCAATGGGCAGGCGGTGGGGGAAGGGGGGGTGAGGAATGCGCTCCAAAAGTAAATAGCCGTTTTCAGAGAAAGTGCGTCAGCATATGGCAGTGAGTTATAAATAAGGAAGGGGATGTGATAAATAAAGCCTCATTAATTAAAAAAATAAAGTAAAATAAAAGAACAAAGCATCCAAAATAGGCAAGAGCATGCAGTTTTGGCTTTCTAATCCACCGGAAGTAGCATTTACTGCCTTCGGATGAAAGCCAACTTCAGTGATTTTCTTTTGTGGTGTTATAAAATAGCATTTTGTATGTCCAACATGTCCTATTGGCCTCTCTATGGCTCACTTACATGCAGACCCCACACTTGGTGTCCAGGGAAGTTGTCCACATGAGAAATGGAAGATAGTCAGGGTTGAGACTATCCACACAGCAAATGAACTTTACAGAAGAGAAATAATGTCTGTATGGCAGGAATTAAATCAGTTCTTGGGTTTCAAATAGAAGTGTTTCATCACATCTGAGTTCACTTAAAGAGCAAAAGACCAAATATGCACCTCAATTACAGGAAATTAAAAGCCCCTTGAAAGCTCATGAAATCATCAAAGGTTAGAAATGAAAGGTGATTTTAAAAGTCTTCTAATACCCTCACCACACATCATACACACACACACACACACACACACACACACACACTTTGCATAGATCAGAAAACAGCTCAGAGAGGTTAGGCGTTTTCCCAAGATCATGCATTCGATAAATACTAGAGCCAGAATCCAAACCCAGGTCTCTTGCTCTCTCTGTTGCTCTTACCTCAATATTTCTCAAATACCACAGGACTTGGAAGCTGCAATCCTTGACCAGCAGTATTCAGCACAGTTGAGAAATGACGTCACATGCTGGAAAGGGTTTTGGAGTCGGACGGGAGGTTTTGGAGTTTAAATGCTGACTCAGTCACTTACTATGGTGCAGCCTTAAACAAGTCAACTTACGCCTCTAAACTATAGGCTCATCTGTGAAGCAAAGCTTATGAGCTGGGACCAGCAGATGGCATAATGGTTATGTCGCTGAACTCCCACATGGTCGACCACAGTTCAAGTCCTGGACCTGGAGGATTGAAACTCACGCAGAGTGTGTGTGTGTGTGTGTGTGTGTGTGTGTGTGCCCAAAATCCTGATAGGAGAATGAAGGAGAAGGGACTGTGGCATGGCCATGCCCTCTTCGGGGTGATTTCTTACTTTCTGTCTCTCTGTCTCCCCAGTGAGCACAGACCATAAACCATAGGGAGCCTGCGCACCATGGAAACTCAATGAATAGCATCTGTCATGACTGTCACACCCCTTCCTCGAAGGTAGATCCAAGGCCCTGAACTTTCAGCCTTAACCTGGAAAGAAGAACATGGTCTAAACTATCCTGCTTGGTAAATGCTATATAGATGTTTCTATTCTCGGCTATGCCCAGCCAGAATAAATCTAATTCAATCTGACCATTTAATGCTTGGCATCATTTTTAGTACTAATCTCATCAGCTGTTATTTTCAGTTTCTGGTTTACCCAAACAATTCAATTTTAGAGGTTATAAACTATAAACTAAAGCTGCCAATAAAATCGACTTATCTTGAAATTACCAGGTCACTTCTGAAGGAATATCAATATTACACACAGGATGTAGAAATGCTTGATCAGAGTTTGATCATTGGGTTGGATGCCAGATCAACGAGAAACTCACCCAGTACTCTCTTGGGATATTAATATCTATATGTGCTTAATATCTCAGCCACCCTGCCATCCACTAGGTTTGAATGTCCTTTATGGAATGAACTTGATCCTCCCGCTTTGCTTTTGGTCTCTCTCCAGAAAAGCTAATGCGCTGGCATAGTTCTGCCATTTGTCAGCCAGAAGTCTGGTTACACATTTGCTCGTCAATCTAAACCTAACCTATTCTCATACGAGCACTTGGGGGTTTCGTGTAAATCAACCAGACGTTCTGTCATTCACCAGCAATATCTCTCCATAGTCTTCTACACCCATGTGCCTTCATGAAACATTTCACTATGCCCGTGGAAGAAATATTCCAATGAATGTGCTTTTTCAGGAATGGTGACACCAGAATGTTTTCAATCTGTTCATTACCACAACAAGGATAAATGGCATTTCTGCCAAAGACTTTCGATAACGGGTGCAGTAATGCACGTCGTCACTTTCTGAAATTAAAGGGTCTACCCTGAGAGGTAAGTAGGCTGCTGCATGGCTAACAAAAGCAAGCCCACACTTCTGAGCTGAGCCTTTCTTGTCAGTGTCATTGATCATTTCCTACAGAAGCTGCCTTAGGGAATTCGTAATGTGATTTCTACTCTCTTGACATTAACGTTCAGGTGAGTCTGACCCCAAGGTTCGCAAAGGGCAGACCCTTATTAACTTAGCATGCTTTATTGTGATTTTTCTTACATTTGGATCCACACAGGCTTTTAACAGCTGTATTTCAAAAATCTGCTATGTTGAAGGACAGTATTCGAAGTATCAGCTCATTATTAGTAAAATATTTTAATAATCAGTTGAATAGGCTCTTGTTAAGCTTTTATAAATAGTTGTTTCTGATTGTAGTAATTTATTGTTAACTTTTTTATTTTTAATGGTAATGAGACTCTAGCCTTCACTAATTCTTTTGGCATTTTGCAGAGGCGTAAAGGGACTGAGAAAGTGGGAATTTAAACAAGAAAAATAAATACCAGTTCTCACTGAATGTGCATGACATTGCTCCATTACCATCAGTGTTTCTGCATTGTAAATGGTGTTTTAACATAGAGCTAACACATGACCATCGTGGAGAAAATGGAGAGGGAAGGGCTTCCAGTCCAGGTTCTCTACAAAGAGCACATTTTATTCCTACAAGTGTCTGAAATGCCCGGGATCATTACTATTCACCATAAGAACTGTATGTCTACCACTGCTGTTTTTTTTTTTTTTAAAATCCAATATCTCTGAAAGGTTATTTATCCAAATAATGTATCCTCTAAAATTAAAGACTCACAGATAGAGCTATATTGTATTGGCTCTCAAAATGCCTAAAATGGAACAGAATATTGATTCTGGTCAGAAAGTAATCATTTTCTTTGACTGTTTTGGATTCTGAACAGGCTCAGTAGATCATAGTTAAATTTTTTAATACTGGATTTAGAATATAAAGTCACTTGGTCATAATATATATATATTGGTGTCTACCTAAAAAAATTTGTGCCTTTGGGTAAATGCAAAAGTCCCTTCCCCTGAGAGTTCTCTGCTCTCGGTTCCCATTCATTCCCACTGTAGCTGTTTTCTCTATCTGACTTACTCCCTCTAGTGGTTCCTGGATGAAGTACAGTGTCTGAAGTTCAATTTACAAGCAAAATAATATTACTGCAACCTCAATATTTTTCTTAGTTAATATACACTAAAGCAAACTTACCATCAGATGTTTGAACTTGAATTTCAAGTTATAGTGAGAAATTTTCATCTGAGAGTCTCATACGTAGTGAGATCTTGCATTCCATTTTCTGATCCCCAGTGAGGGCATTTGCTTCTAATCTAGTTAAGATTAGGTTCCTTTTCTGCCTTTGAATCCTTGTATTCTAATTTACTTTTACTGAGAGACACTCAGAGGCAGAGGAGATACTCTATGAACTAAAACATGCAAGCAAGCATTTCTTTGACATTTCCCAAGGGTAGAACTTACACTTTGAGTCTTCTAAGTTACTCAAGAGGTTCAACGTACTTTGACTCAAGAAAAAAGCGATTAATTTTCTTAATGGCCTTATAGACACTATAGGCATCATTTTCAGCCACAGAATCCCTTAATCAAACCAGGGGGAATAGCCACTTGAGACATTATTGCTTATGGACACACTTTCTTTAAAAAGAAGAAAATACATTCCCAAAGCTGTCAGCTGATGCTGCTGCTACTTTGGAATTCAGCTGCAGCCAATTGTGCGATCTAACTATAGGCCCAGGTCATCTGGGGACCCACTCGAACAGCTCACAGGGATGGCATTCACCCCTGGCCACGGTGCACGGGCCTGCCAGTGCAGCCTGTCCAGCCCAGATTGCTATTTTGGGTTAGAACTCCCAAATGAAGGCCCTTGACTGTCCTCTACACTGCCGACACTCAGTGACACCTTTAGCCATTGTGAGCCATTCTCCACTCTGCACACTGACCTCTTCTCACCTCCACAATGTCCTACATCTTGTAGGGTCCCCCATAGGAGACCAAGAGATATGCCACATAATAATATTAAGCCAAATCTTTTTTTTTTTTTTTGAGAGATTTCTGCTATAGGGAGCGTGCACTCGCCAGACAGAGACAGAGAGACAGAGAGAAATCACCACCCGGGGGGATGGCCGTGCCGCAATCCCTTCTCCTCCATTCTCCTCTCGGGATCTTAGGCATGCACACACACGTGCCCAGCGTGAGTTTTAAGTCACCGGGTCCGGGACTCGAACCATGGTCGGCTACATGGGAGTTCAGCGACATAGCCTTTACTCTAACTGCTGGTCCCAAGCCAAATCTTTTATTTAACAACACAAAGCCCATCCACACATAAGGCTCTGCTATGTCAAATTACTTCAACGAAGTACCTAAGCAAGAAACCTCAAGCTTCCTCAGCAGGTTTCTTCACTGCAGTCATCCATCCTCCAAACTCTAGCCATTGCCTTGTCCTCTCAGATCCGAGGATGTGCTGTTGAGACCCTCTTCTTCCACATGCAGTCATTATAGCTTATCTACTTTTACCTAGGCTGCTGTAGTAACTATCCTACTGATGTCCCTGCTTCCAACTATTCTACATTCTGCCCTCAGGCTCAGAAATCCAGACCAGAATGCATTTGTCTCTAGTTTAAAATTCATCACTGGTTTTCCATCACCTGCAAGAGAAATTTTAAATTCCTTGTGCTGGTATTCAAGCTCACTCAAGATCTAAAGACTCTCACCCACTTTTCCAGCCTGGTCTCTTAGTCTTTCCAAATCTTTCTGCTCTTCTTTCAACACCTAAATATGCCCTATGCTTTGGCCACACTCTTCCATTGTCTGAAGATCCACTACAGAGTTCTTCAATATTTAGTCTGAAAATTACTTTTTTTTAAGAGGTTTTTGCCATAGGGCGCATGCGCTCGCCAGACAGACAGAGAGAGACAGAGAAACAGAAAGCGAGAAATCACCCCCCGGGGGGGGGATGGCCACACCACAATCCCTTCTCCTCCATTCTCCTCTCGGGATCTTGGGCACGCACACACACGCACCCGGCGTGAGTTTTAAGCCACCGGGTCCGGGACTCAAACCGTGATCGACTACATGGGAGTCCAGCAACATAGGCATTACGCTAACTGCTGGTCCCTGAAAATTACTTTTAAAAAGAAGTTTATTCATTTATTTATTCCATATGAGAAAGAGAAAGAGAAAGGGTCTTAACTTTGTGATACACCTCCAGACTTAGCTAAGCAGGAGCATGGGTACAGATGCACTAAGCACATACAGGGAGGCCCCAGGATGCAAAGCAGGGAACTTCTCACATGGGTCCAGTGTGTTCCTGCTGTGCCACCATCTGGCCCCAGCATCATTTTTTGATCGAGTTTTCCCTGCCTGTCCTTGTTTCCCCATACAACTCACACATACATAACTAGTTAACCCCTCCTTCTGTGGTGCACCCTAGGACATTGTTCACGCTTCCTGTATCTCTACAAACATACAAACATACAACATACACTTCCACTAGAACCTGAAACTGATTTTTGTGTTCCCAACATCTAGAACCATACTTGAATTAAAATAGTCAATATGTTTTTCTGTATTAATTAATAAAAATGTAAATCTCATGAACAAATCACTTGGTTGCATTCAAGAATCCAATTCCTGCCTTAACCCGTGCCCTTCACTAAATGGAACTTGACTTACACGTTCTAAATTGGGTGTGGTCTAAGGTTCCATATTCACACTTCAGAAAAACTGATCTTTTTACCAAAAGATAGATTAGAAAAGTCTTGGGTCCGGGGCTGGCAGGTGGCTTGGTGGTTAGGGGTGCTGGACTCCCATGTGGCTGACTACGGTTCAAGTCCCGGACCTGGCAGCTTGCTCTCTCTCCTTCTCTCTCCCTCTGTGGTCAAATTGAAATAAATAAATAAATGAATAAATAAAGTTAAATAAAATAATTTTTTTTAAAAAAAAGAAAGAAAAGTCTTAGGTCCAGGAAATTAAATCAAAGAAAAAGCAGAAGGAAGGACGTGCTAGGATTTGGGTTTTGCTGCCCTATGTGGCCAGTTCAATTTTGGAAGATTTAAGAACCAAGGGAGCTGTTAAAATGGAGGCAGGCACTGTGCATGGCTCATATATATAGTATGCTCTAGACTGCCTCTGCCCGCATTTGATCTGGGTAAGGGTATGCTTGCTTCACCTCCCCCAGTTCCCAACTTGAATGTAGATAATATCTGGTAAACTTAACTTCAAGATCAATAATCACCAGAGTTTCCACCTTTGCCTTTCCCAGTGGTGATTTTCTTCATCACCCCTTCATCAGAAACATTCACACAGGCTGACTTGGTGATACAGGAGGAAGGAACTGGCACCGTATCCTTGCATAGATTCTGTGAACTCACAAACACACTTTCCCACGTAGCTGTGTCGTCATCACTACCTCAGCATGAAGCAAATTGTAACAGTGCTTTTAGTTTTTGTTTTTTGGACAACGTTCATGTATTGGTTCAAAATTCTGTGGGTTAGAATTTGGACTGGGCTTAGCTGGGCAGTTCTTCTGCAGGTTTCTGTTGGGCTGATGGTTGGTCTGAGACGAGCCTTGCTCAGATGTCCTGGGGTTAACAGGCTATCTGCTGGAGCATGCCCTTCAGTTATCCTGCATGCAGCCTTTCTAGCAGGCTAGTTTGAGCTTATTTTCATGGTGGTCCCATGGATCTAGAACAGCAGGAGTTGGAAAGTCTCAGTGTGCAAGGGCTTTTCGTGTTTTTGCTTGTACCACATTTGTCAACATTTCCATGTCACAACAAGTCATCAGTCAACCCAAATCAAGGAGTGGATAACTAGACTCCTTGCTGAGAGGAGTGGCTAGGAGGTCAGAACACAAGGAAGGGAGGTGTTTGGAGCCATTGCTCAATCTACCACAGAGACCTTTTCAAAGCCACCTGTGTGAAGCCTGGACATCACTGCAGGTTCCCTCTGGTCCCTTAATAATCAGTACTCTTGCATTAGCAC